TGCAGAGCTCTCCATCTGCCTCTCCGCAGCACAGAGAGGTTGCCAATGCAGGGAAGGTGGATTTAAATGCCTTTTCACTGCAATGGATTTGATTTTATCACTCTAGATGACCTCCACTTCCCAACACTTTGCTCTTATCAGGCACATTGTTGCTGTTCAGAGAAATGAGATTCAACCATTCTGACAAAGTTAAGGGGGAAACTCTGAGGTTTGAGCATTTTGGGGGTTTGTTTTAAGCATTAAACCATTTTTCCTTCACTCTTTTGTTTACAGGACAGTATTTCTTTGATACTATCCTGCTAAAAGTGCAACCCCAACGCAGCATTAAAATTCAGACCCTGAAGTAGATCAGCCTTCCCATTTCTCTCTTTACTTCAGCCTTGTCAAGCTCTATTATTCTCAATCCACTTCGACAGTTCTGGGTTAAAAAGACACCAATTACCCTTTGAAATTACCCTCTCACTATAGGATTAGCTCCATTTCTACTGACTTTGGAAGTTCCTTGGGCTCAGGGGATATTTTGGAGGGGGGAGGGTACCCCAAAACGCTGCATTAGGACCATTTTATTGCACTTGACTGGCTGCCTTGGGGATGGCTGTGGCACTTGGTGGCAACTTTCCCTCTTAACCACATAAACACTCATTTTAATTATTAGTAAAACTGGTTTGTGCCATTTCACTGGTGCCATTTCACTCCTCTTTCGATCTGTAAAGCCTGACAAAAATGGAGAGGGAGAGGAGAGGAGAGGAGAGGAGAGGAGAGGGAGAGAAGAGGGGATAGTTCAGCAATAAAAATGCCCTCTGGAGGAACCTCCCTGTGCGTGTCCTGTGCCCAAAATGACTTTATGAACCAGTACCCCAGTGTTTCCACGGGGTTTAAGTGGACAACAGGCACAAAACTTCAGCTTTTTAAATGAGAAATAGTGTTTTATAGCTGGAGAGGTGTAGGTTTGAGTAAAAACCAGAAGGTCTCTTGTTCCCCCATTTCACTCCTCCATTTGTCTCTGGTTCTGACCCATGTGTGACACATTCTGCTGTCACAACCCCCCCCCCCTCTCCTCCCCAGATCTGCTCAGGCTTTTGTGCCTGTTCCCAGCGACAGGGGATGACTCAATGCTGGAAACGTGGCCGTTTAATTTCCAGCTGGAAAACGGGGAATGGAGCTGCGAAGCAAACGCCGTGACCCAACAGCAGAACTGTCCTAGATTCTCACATCTTGCTTGGAAATTTTGTGACAGCCTTATTGCCCAAGGGTCCAACGTAATCACTTCTCAGTTCACTGATACGCTTCCTTTCAGCATCTGCACTAAATGTGTCTTTATCCCTCCTGCATGTAGGAACACTCCTTAATTCTTCAGATGCAAAGGAAAAAAAAAAAGAAAAAATCCCACCTCGAGTGGGGAATGGCTTGAATTGCACTTATTTTAATTTTGGCTGTAAAAACGCTTTGAAAATTGTTCTCTCCGCCCCCCTCACCACCCAAATTCTTCATTGATGATCCCGCTTTTCTGTCTTTCATAAACATTAGGTTATGAAAGCCTGTTTTCTACTGCCTTGACTGAAATAGGACCTTCACTTGCCCGTGGCCAGTGCGGTGTTTTCTCCTAAGTCAGTGATTTGCAGCAAGTTAGAGAAGTAAAGAGGAGTGAAATATTTGATTTGTATCAATAGGTTGGTTTTTTTATTTTAACCAAAATCACATGGTGGCTTTCAGTCACTGATGACTTCTGTTGTAATACTTGCCAAGGAAACTCGGAAACATCTGGAACATCATCGTTTGCAAAAGTTACTGGTGGCACCAGGAAGGGTGTGAGGGGCTGCAGGATCTTCCTGGCATTAAAGAAGGTCCTGGATGGAGGACTTTGGGTGCTGCCAAATCAGGCTGATGATGGCTGAGAATGTAGATAGAGAAGATTAATTCTATATATTCTTGTTTATGTATGTGTAAAACCCCACCTGAATGGACATTGCCTTTTGTGTTTCCCTGTGTTCTGTTGTTTCCCATCTGTTGTTTTAATGGATGGGCTCATTTTGCACCTATTAGATATCTCATAATTTATCTGAATTTACAGTTTTCCAGTTCTGGGAGGAGGGGATGGAGCTGTTATTTTTCATATTCTTTCCTTTCTGCTTTTTCTTTTCACTGTTTTCTTCTTAGGGGTTGCATTGCAATGTGCTTTCTAGGAAGCACAGATCTATTTTCAATTTTGACCTATATATCCTGTGCCTTGATTAGTTAAGAACACTAAAGCACTTTGGAATCTTCGAATTGGCTCCTAAATTGCAGACAGAAAAATTGAAAGAGCTCTTTCTGTTGTCTTCTCCTACAGGGCAGCATCAAACCTGACAATGATCTTTGCTCCTGGAACATAAGGGGCAAATTTAAAGAAAGATCTAAAGCACTTTTAAAAGCCATAAGCAATCAAAATGCCTTTCTCTGGCTACATGAAAATAAGCCTTTTTTTTTTTTTTCCAGGGTAGTTATTTATTTATTAGGAAGCATTCAGGGAGGAGTGAGTTATTTAGCTGATGTAAATAATTAGTCTAATGCTGAAAACGAGACCACTCTGGTTTAGCTCAGTTAATGTTTTAGAAAACTTCATTATATGGTCCAAAACTCAGATCATTGAGTCCAACCCTTAGCCCAGCACCACCATGTTCATCACTAAACCACGTTCCAGTGTGCATAAGAACTATCTTAATCTTGCTTTTGATATAATTTTCACTGGTGTGAGTGCCACAGCCCTGGAAGCTGCTGCTCCCGGCCGAGTTTGCCACGTGATTTTGAATCCACTCAGACACTCCTGTGCCATCTCTCATTTATTCACTGGATAAACACCACCTGAGTGTTTCAACCCTGCATGACTGAAATCAAAAGAAGGTTTCACATCAACCTCAGTGGGAAAACAAGCTGGCTCAGAGTGCTCCTGCACACACACACTCAGCTGCATTAACTGCAGGTCTCGGATCCACCTGCTCTGCTACTGCAAAAACACCACTTTGGGAAGTTATTTTTGAAAACCGGTGACTGTAAGTGCTCTGGCAGAGGCAGGGAAGGGGCATTTTAATGATTATATTTCATAACCATCACTGATGTCACCTAAAATCTGCGCTCTTTTCCATCACCTTGAAATTAATGGTACATATTAAAGTAGCTTTAGTGGTCCCGGAGTGGGCCAGGCTTGGACCAAATGTCTCACAGAATCATTGAGGTTGGATCAAGTGCAACTGTTCCCCCAGCACTGCCAAGGCCACACATGTCCCCAAGTGCCACATAGACTAGTTTTTTGAACAGAGCTTGTACAAAGGCAGGGACTGATTGCAGAGGGAAAGCAGGAGAATGGAAAAAAAAAAAAAAAAAAAGGAAGGAATTGGAGTTTTAAGTGTTCAAGGCCAGGTTGGAGCAACCTGGTGGGGTGTTAGGTGTCCCTGCCCGTGGGGAATGAGATGGTCTGTGAGATCTCTTCCAACACAAACCATTCTGTGATCCCGTGATTTTCCATCCCAGGCCCATTTCTGGTGGTTTCAGACTGAAATGCTGCCCTAGGAAACAGAGGGAGATATGGGAAAGCGTTTTCCAGTTGGGAAAAGTACTAGTGGAGAGCTGTAAAGCAACAGATGCTTCAGCAGAAAAAGGGTGAGGAGGGCTGGGCAGGAGGGGTGGTGGGTCCATCACACAAACATGGGGAGGGGAAGCTTGCCTGGCTGCAGAACCCATTATAAATCCAGCCATGAAATTTTGACTGGCTGGGCTTCTTCCTTTGTTGTGGGAAGTCTGGATGAAGAAGATTTATCTCTTCAGTGAGATTTAGTTCCTTTTCTGTCTTCATTCACGACGTCCCCTGGCATTTCACTCACTGCTGGTGAGAGATGTCCCCCAGGAAGGCAGATCCTGTCACACAGACATGAGCTACGCCGGGTTTGTTGTGACCTCTGGTGAAATCTGTCAGGAAAAGGACCATTATCCCCAGTTGTCTGATATTAAATGCATTCCTCTTCCAACTGCAAAATAATTATCATTATGATCAGTGTTCATGCAGCGCTCTGTGGCTGGAGACACCTGTTTTTTTGACAGGTGCTTTCTCAGGATTGTGTGCTGAAGATCTCCTCTGAAAAATTCGAGGACAGGTAGGGACGCTGTCTCTTGTTTGTTAGAAAGCAAAGTGCAGCCTGGCCCTCCTCCCTGGCTGGGATGAACTGCAACCCAAGACAGGTTTAGCTTTGCCTGATGATGATGCCTCCCACAATTATTTCATCCATCATTTCTGTCTTCACTGCTCTCCACGTCTCGGAATGTAATCCTGGAAGGGTTGAAATTCCACATTGCAGTCTCTGCTTTGTTGTTTCTCCTCTTTTTCCCTGTTTGCTGTGTGAATTTGCTGCAAACAGCAGTTAAGACCTTTGGACACTTCCAGACAAACTCCTGTTTCTACAACAAACAGCTGGCAGTAGTTCCATCTCATGGAAAGCTGGAAGGCTCAGTTCACTGTCCGTGAATGGCCACAGACTTCTGTGTATCAGCAGCTTTTGCGGAGCCAAGTTCTTGCAAACGAGTTGTGGAAGCAGACATTTGGCAGAGCAATCAAAATTTGTGAGAACTTTATGACTGTCAGGTGTTGGGCTGTTTGACTGTTTCATCCAGTCCTAGTGGGAAATGCCTTCATTTTCCGGTGCTTCCAAGAATAACTGGTGTTACTGTTCCTGATCAGTTTTGGAATCTGTCTTTATGGGCATTAGTTTGTAAAATTTTCCCCATCTTTTCTGTTGAAAATCTGTATTCAGCACAATCTCATGGTCAGGCTGTTGATAATTTACCTAAAGAAATGCAGACCGAGTTGCTGCAAATCACAGATTTGTATTTTAAAGGACGTCACTGCCATTGCTGTACCCAAGTTTGGGACACAGCACCCTTTGCTTCTCATCTGAGGACGTTTTTTTAATGTCAATGCCTTTTCTAACTGACTTTCTCATTGTAATGATTTCTCCTAAATTATTTGACAGGCAATGAAAAGCCACCACTGCTGAAAGCCTAGGATTTCCCATCATCATGGAACCTGCAGCCAACTAAACATCACCTCAGAAGTCATGGGCTCCCACCCCTGCTCCTGTCTCAGAAGTTTTCTACTCCCTGCCCCTGAAGAAAACTGGAGGAAGATTAAAAAGACGTATTTTCCAAGGTAATTTCTTTAATATGCGCTTTTCTAGCTGCGATTTCAGGCAGAAAACACGTCCGTCCCCATCTCTGTGGGCAGAGGAAATGCATTAGGGATGGACAGGGATGGATGGGAATGGTCAATACCTGCTTGCCGCAGACAAATGGAGCCCTTCATGGGACTCAGTCCAGGAATAAGTTGAAATTGCTTTTCTTAGGACATCTTACTATTAAGAGTGAGGAGCTGAAGTCTCTGGGAGAGGGTTTTTCCAGGTCCCTGCCACTGCAGGACAGAGCTGTGTAAAACACAGTTGTACTGGCTCAAAGGAGTTTTGTTTAAAGAGATGCAAAGGGCCACAATTTCAAACTCAGAACATTGCAGTGATCCTAATTATGGAAATAAATGTGGGCCCTGCTAAGAGAGATGTACCACTGCAAAATCAATGATGGAGTGCAGGATAAATCACACAGGCCTAGAAGCAAGTACAAAGGACTCTGTAGTAGAGACACCCTGTTTGAAATTATAATCTCAAATGATTTAGGCACCTCATTTGCACTTGCATATTGTTTTCAGGCACTTCCAAAAAATTCCTGAAGCTCTCAGCTATTTGTTTCACAACGAGATGTGCTTCGTGAAGTGTCTGTGACATACACAGCCCATATGTTTGTTGACATATGGACTCTCTGGCTATCAAATTTAAACCCCTTTTTGGGGCTAAACACAGGACTGTGATGTGCACAATAAATATTGATTCCTGGGTTTCACTAAGCACAGAATAAAATAGCTGCAGAAAGCCCTAAAGCCTTAAGCCCTGATGGATTTTTCCACAGGCAAAGGCAGACAAAAGAACACACAGAGTTTTCCAGCAGCACCCCCAAGGCAGCAACATCACCTTTTTTTTTTTTCCATGGAGGTTTCAGTCCAAGCATTTTCTGCTTTATGTGCAGAAGAACAGGAAAAGGGAACAGTTGATGTGATATGAAGAAAACCTGTGATTTTTTAGGGTTTTTAACCAGCATCCAGAATTCTCCCTAGAAAAATCCTGATGTCTCTGACCTGCTAAACCTGGAGATGTGCACAGGCTGCTTCTCCAGCACTGTGTGATTTTCCAATGCATTGCTCTCCCTAAAACCAGTGTAGGGACGTTTATTTGCAGAAAGACTATGAAAAAAAAAAGGTAATGTAAAAAAAAACCAGCAACAAAACACCTCTGACTTGTCCAGCCGTATGTGAAAGTCTTCTTTGGTTATTTGCCATTCTGTTTACTTGCTTGGCTTCAGCAATACTTAAGTATTTCCTGCTAAAACTACAGAATTTCTGTTCAGATCTAATTTTTTTAATTATTTTTTTCTCTCTGAAAACTACTTCTTCTTCTGAGCAAACACTAATTTTCTCCTCTCTGCATAGAGAAACTGTTCTCACCGAGCTCTCTGGTGAGATCCTCTCTGCTGGTGGTGTGGAGCTCTCACAGGGTATTTCAGCTTCTGCTTTTTCAGTAGGAAAAAAAAGGAGGTAAAAGTGAATTTCAGGCCTCTTTTATGGCTGTTCTGGCTCAGTGATTTTCTCTGTGTTACCTGATTTGTTGCACATTCCCCTTGCATTGCTCTGGCAGGGCTGGGGAGTTTGCTCAGAGTGCCCAAACAGATGGAAAAGGACGGATGTGAGGGTTGGTTTGGTGGCATCACTGGCACTGCTGCATCACTATAATGCCTTGAAGCTGTATTGGTTTTTTTTTGAGTGAGGCTCCAGAGCAGGTTGGATATCCAGGCACTGCTACTGGGTGTGGATTCCCTCCCTGCAGGCAGTGGATGCAGCTCCCACCCCGTGGTGATTTTGGCACTTCACTGCCCAGCCTGAAATAGATTTTCCCACCTGCAGGAAAGAAATCCACGTTACAGGACACCATCTCCCTAATTTGACAGCCCTTGCTGGGAGGCCAAGGAGCTGTGTGAGCAGGAATGTGGGAATTGCCATCCCAGCCCCTGGAAGTTTCCCTTCGGTTCACCGGGAGCACGTTGGCAGCAAGGGCTGGAGCAGCTCCATCAGCCTCTGCTGGGTGTCTGTCACAGTGGAACCAGGCTTAAAAAACCTGCTCCAAGTTAATGCTAGACCAGAAGAAAATGTGCAAAATTGAACCTTGCCTTCCCTTTCTCCTCCGTTTTTCCTTTCCTCCTTTTCTTTTTCATTTCCCTTTTCCCACACGAAGAGGCCGGTTGGTAACAGGGCACATAAAGTCCTGTGTTCTCCCCAGTGCCACCAGCTGCAAACTAAAATATATGGCACTTTCCCCTGGGATGTGGTTATTATTCTTCATTAATCATTATTATTATTATTCACTCCTGAAAATCTCAATCAAACCAAGCCAGAGCTGAAATACTAAAAAATACTAAAAAAAAATAAAATAAGATAAAATAAAATAATACTTGAAATGTATGTCAGGAATCAATTGGATGCAGATTCCTGGAAGTTTAATTTGCTTTGTGCAGTGTTGAAAGACCTGACTATGTTTTTAGCAGCGTTTTGGGTCAGCTGGATGGAACTATCTCTGCCCAGGCCCGATGGTGACCCAGCAAAAACCCCAGGGCTGCCTTGTAAAGCTGCTCTGCTCATCTAAGGCTCCAGAGGATTTTTGGGTGTTCAAAAATGTAGGCACATGCGTTTTGGCAATAAAAACAAACCCAGCCCACCATTAGGAATGGAAGAGTCAATTCTATTTTGCTGTAATATTTAACAAGAAAGGTGCCATATAAGTTAGTAAGAGCGTGTAGACACACAGTTTAATTAAGATAGAACCCCCAGAACGTGGAGTTTATAGCCTTGTGCAATGTAATTGTGTTTAGATGAGTATGAGCATCATAAACTGCAGAGTCACATGGCACTGACTGATGAGGGGGTGTGTAACTGTGTCACAGGGACCAGAGGGGAAGGTGGTTTGGTTCGTTGGTATTGTTGAAGTGAAGGACTGGGAAAAAAAAACAACACAAGGTGCTCCCAGCCTGGTGCTGCTCTGATCTGCTGTTTAATCATGGAATCCTGGAATGGTTTGGGTTGGAAGAGACCTTGAAGATCATCTCGTTCCAGTCCTTGCCAAAGGCAGGGACACCTTCCACTAGCCCAGGTTGCTCCAAGCCCTGTCCCAACCTGGCCTTGGACACTTCCAGGGATGGGGCAGCCACAGCTTCCCTGGGCAACCTGTGCCAGGGCATCACCATCCTCACAGGGGAGAACTTTTTCCTAATGTCTCATCTAAATCTATTTCTCTTTCAGTGAGAAACCATTCTCCTTTGTCCTTTCATTACCTGTCCTAGTAAAAATTCCCTCTCCAGCTCTCCTGGAGCCCCTTTAGGCCCTGGAAAGGGCTCTCAGGTCTCCCTGGAGTCTTCTCCAGGTGAACACCCGAAGCTCTCCCAGCCTTTCACTGAGACACCTTTTTCTTCCATTAAACAGTTTCCTCCTTCATTTTTTCCATCCACATGAACTGGATGATCCCAGTGATTCCTCCAACATCCCTATTTGTTTCTTTTTGTCCCTGGCAGAGGAGAGGAGCTGGAAATGGAGCCCTCCCAGTGCCACGCTGGCCTTTCTCCTGCCGCTCTTCAGGCTGCCCACAGGGTATGAGCCACTCCAAGAGCAGAACAGGCTCTTTCCTGACCTCAGCCACCAGTCAAACAACCTCAGAGGCTGAAGAGAGACCCCAGCAAAGGCCTGGTAACCCGGGTTTTGAATCCTGTAGGGACTTCAAACACTTTTTTGGCCGCAGGGCTTGGCTCTTTCCCAGCAGAGCAGCGGCTGCAGTTGCTGCCCCGGGAGCCTCGAGCACAGGATGGGGTTTTTTAGCCTCTATTGCAAAGCTTGAAATTTCTCTCTGTCTCCTGTGTTGCTTCTCTGCCCCTGACCTAAATTATGAGGAGAGGATATTAAGCCAGGATTTTAACTTAGGAGCTGAACTACACCCACAGGAGGAATTAAAGCCCAGTGTTGTTCTTTGATTGAAGGTAAGCAAGCGGTGAAATTGTACCGGGTTCCTTGTTTAAACTGCTGCCAGAAATAGGAAATTTTGAGCAATATTTTGCTCTTCTTTATTGCTCTTTCTCCTCTAAAACTGGTCTAATACTCCCCCCCCCATATTTCCATGGCAAGAGGTTGGAATGAGATGGTCCTTAAGGTCCCTTCTAACCCAAACCATTCTATGGATCTGTGATATTTAGACACAAGCCAGTCCTGATTTGACTTGTTGGTTTGTTATTTCGTAATAAAATGTCACCTAACCTTAAGTTCTTCCCCCTTCCTGCTTGCTATTAAACCTGATTTCCCCCAAACCAGCATTTGCCAGTCCTTGCTGGAATTCCTTCACCATTAAGTCTGTGGGGTTTTGTGTGCCATGTCACTGTTGTGGTGCCAGAGAAAACCTTGGGAAAGGAATGTGACAGAGTTCCAACTTCTTGGATGAGTCCAGAATTGCTCATTGCTGTGAGAAGGTGCAAACTGAGATTTTTACCCCACCCTCCATCTGGGCCTGGCTTGTGGCTACCTGGTGGCTACCAGTGCTCCTGCTGTAATTGTTGAATGCATTCTTCCTTGAAACAGGTTAAAAAAAAATCCAAATTTAAAAACATTGAATCTAAATAAATATTCTGAGTCCTTGAATAACCCCATCTCCTTTGATTATAGATCTTTTCTCCCTACTCAGACAGTTCTTCAACCTGCCAGTAATAGACTAATGGACTGTGTCCTTGTGTCCTTGGCTGAGGAATGAGGTGCTTTAATGCTCTGACTGTGGCCCACCTTTATCCTTGCAGGGCACATGTGGTTGATGTTGGACCGTGAGTCACTTTATATTGGATTTCTCTGTGTGAAAAGAGTGATTTGATTCCTGCAGGTTCCAGCCTGAGTTTATCCCGTCGCAGGATTTTCTCCCGACACTGCTCATGGACAAGGTGATAATCTTGTATCTGAAGGCAAACATATAGAATGCATTTCAGTGATCCCACGGAGTGGTTTCCCAGGCAACTGTAACATCTTCATCCCCAGCAGGGTGCAGGGCTTGCCTGGCCAGCTTCCCTCCGTGCTGGAGAGCCTGCGCTCAGCAGACGTGCCTCGCTGAGCTTCCCGGAGGCTGGAAAAGCAAATGTGCTTTGGATGAGTCTGGGATATTCCCTCTCCAAGTTAAGGTCATTCACGGGGCTGGTCTTGTCCAGAATAAACTGCTCAAGACACGTAGCCTGGGCACAACCTGCTGGAGTGGATGATGGATTCTGGGAGCACAGAGGAAAAACTCCTCTCAGGGGGCAGAGACAGGCAGGTGAACCTGGAGCTAAAGAGAAATAGCAGTGAGACAAGAGACAAAAACCCCACATGGCTGAAGTTAGGAAGGGGAGAGGAGAAGACCCCCTGAAGAAATGTCTGGGATGGTCTTATTGCAGCCTGTCAGTACCTAAAGAGACTCCGAGAGAGCTGGAGAGGGAATTCTCACTAGGGCAGGTAGTGAAAGGACAAAGGGAGTGGCTTTAAATTCAAAAACAGTGGGTTTGGATTAGATACTGAGAAGAAATTCTTCCCTGTGAGAGGGGGGAGGCACAGGTTGCCCAGAGCATCTGTGGCTGCCCCATCCCTGGAAGTGTCCAGGGCCAGGTTGGACGGGGCTTGGAGCAACCTGGGCTAGTGGAAGGTGTCCCTGCCCATGGCAGGGAGTGGAACAAGATGATCTTCAAGGTCCCCTTAAAACCCAAACCATTCTGGGAATCTATGAAAACATCACTTTGTGCAGCAGAAGAAAACCATAGTAAATACATTTTGGTTTGTTTCTGAGTCCATTCATGTGGAAAACAGGACTGAGCACAGAAGGACAGTGGAGAACATGACACTGCATGAACACAGCGTGCTCCTCTTCAAAACCCCTCCCCAGCACCTGTTTGGGCTACACTACCCCAAATGTGTCAGTGGGGTGTGGGGGGAGGTTCTAGGTTAGAAAATAGCCCTGGGAGATGCAGAGTTCTCAGTCTGTGTCTCCCATCCCTGACATGTGGAACAGGAACATCCAGTTTACAGCTTGTGAACTGCAGGGACTGCAAAGCGAATTGATGTGGCTGAAGAACACAGTTTGGCACTGAAAAAGGAGAGGATGACTCTGAGATGCACCAAGAAACCACAGGAGGGCTGAGCTGTGAATTGTTCCAGGGGAATGGGAGAACTTTGGGCTGAGCCTCTTGGCCACATGGTTGTCGGTGTCGGGCCCGTGGTGCAGACTTGCCCCGAGGCCACACACTGCAACACTTCCACAGAGCACACGTTAAGAGACTCTGCCCTCACATCAGGAGCCTGCAATGGGTTGGATCAGAGTATTTTTAGCTCCTGTCCTGATGGCTCAGGCAATGCTGATATTATGGAGTTTGGCAAGGCAGAGAACTGTGGGGTTATTTGAGTTTCAAGGGATCTCTTATGTGTAATGTGGTCGTGTCATTCCTGCTGCGGTAACTGGGACTGTGGGAGCTTCTCTCCCTTAGCTGCTCATTCATAATTTGTTGTGCTAGTTGGAGCATCTCTGATCTCTTGAGGCAATGAGGAAGGGCAGGAGCCCTGGGCAGAGATCCCTGAGCTGGTGGGGATGGTGCTCACGAAGCACGAGGGGAAGCATCACCTTGTCCCTGGGGCACATCCTCGCACCCATAAACCCTGGGGTCCCACCACACCCATTCAGTGCTGAGGCCCAGCTGAGTGGAGCACGTGGTGCTTCCACACAGTGTTAACTCAGGTGTGCTCCTGGCCTGCTGCAGAGCCGAGTCCTCCAGCTCTGGAGGTGCTTCTTGACTTTAAAACGATGCCCTCAGCCCTTTGAAAGCGATGCCCTGTCTCTCCTCACCCCTCAGAGCTGGGACACGCTCAGACTTCACTGAGAAGTGCGACATTGAAGTCCAGCGTGTCGTTTCTGCAGCGTACTTGTGAGCTGGGAATTGGGTTTAAAAGCGTGAACCTTCCGCGCTCAAATGAAAGCGGGGGCTGTCAGCAGGAAGGGCCTTTGGAAGGAAGAAAGAGGCACAGGGTTTTTTGAGCACTACACGTTTGCTCCTGGCAGTCAGTGCAGTGCCAGGCTGAACGGAGAGCTGCTCCTTTTCATGTGCTGCGCCTTCAGAGCTTCTCCTGTGAGACCAGAGCAGTGAAACTCTGTGGTGAGTAGCTGGAGAATACCCACTGTCCTGTCTCAGGAAACAATCCTGATCCTCAGCATCTGTGGCCTTCCCTGTTCCTCAGAGAGTAGGTTACACGAGCTTTTCTAATATTGGATTTTGTGTTTATTCCTACTAATCTGTACTCTTGATTAAGAAGCTGATTACCTCCAAAGCTGGCAGCTGTGGGGAGGGGTAAAAATCCTGAAGACCCTGAGGCTAAAAGGGGAATTCAGATGGTGGAGAGTGGAGGAGAGATGAGGTTTGGTATTTATTTAGGTATTCATGCAAGCAAGAGAAGAATAAGAGAGGCAGAAATCAAAGTATCACAGAGTATCATAGAATCACAGAATGGTTAGAGTTGGAAGGGACCTTAAGGACCATCTCATTCCATAACCTGCCATGGGCAGGGTCACCTTCCACTAGCCCAGGTTGCTCCAAGCCCTGTGCAACCTGGCCTTGGACACTTCCAGGGATGGGGCAGCCACAGTTTCTCTGGGCAACCTGTGCCAGGGCCTCCCCACCCTCACAGGGAAGGATTCCTTCTAATCTAATCTAAACCTACACTCCTTTAGTTTAAAGCCATTTCCCCTTGTTCTGTCCCTCCAGGCCCTCGTTAAAAGTCTCTTTCCAGATACAACTTCTCGAGGAGTTACATCACACACTGAAACATAATTGGGCACAAAGAAATCCTTGCACAGAGCCAGAAAAATCCAGTCGGCTGCAAGAGGCTTTCAGTGAGGAAACTGCAACTTCTCCTGTCTTTTGGTGTGTGATATTTTTGGATGAAGCCTTTTCTAAGGGGGAGAGAACACAAGGGGAAATCAGGCTCCTTGGTCGCTCACGTTCAGACAAAAGGCACGTCAGCCTGGGCACCGAAATGTTTGACAGCCACATTACCTGTGCTGTTTGAGGACCTTTATAAGCACTGATAGTCGCCAAGAAATCATCCAGGCCTGGCATTTTCAGAGGCTGCAGAGCAAGGCAGGCTCAGGCTTTGATTTTATCTCCCTACCAGCAAATTTTAAAGCACGTTGGCTCTAGGGCTCAGTGCCTGTTTGTTTTCTGCTTAGTGGGTCATTATGGAGAAGATCCCTCCTTTCAAAAGGCTTTTGTGGGAAAGAAGGACTCCTTTAAAGAGTCTGCAGTATCCTTGTTTATTTAAGTGGCACAGACAAGGAGAAAGAAAATAGCAATGAGCTAAAAGAGCATGAAAGACAGATGGAAAAAGCTCTGCATTGTGGAGGAAAAAAAGGTGTGTCCTCTCACCTCCTCCAAATGATGAGAGCTGTTCCAGATGTAGCCACTTAGTTCCTGAAGGTACTTCAGGTCTCGTGTCACAAATTCAAAGTGGCATCTTACCCTTCTCCAGAAATGCCAAGAGCTAATCTAGGGAACAGCTGAGATTTCTGCCTCGCAAATGTTGCCTGTTCAGAAGGAAATTGAGTCACCCCTGAGTTGTGATTTGGAGATTTTCTCATAATTCTCTGCCAAATGAGAGGTAACTTTGCTTCCAACCCAGCTGATCAGGACTGTTTGTGGAGGCAGTGAGCCTGTTGGCAGATGTTTTGCATCCAGCTGACCTGTTTTCTGTCCTGAAGGTCACTCTGGATTGCATAAAATCCTGCTCAGGTGGGAGCAATTCCTCCCTTTCTGTCCAGCCTGTAGGTGCTGAGTATCCAGATGAGCTTTCAGCATCCTCTCTGTCCCTTTCTGTCCTTGCAGTTGCTGCTGGTCTGCGGGTTTGTGTCCCACGTTTTGCCTCCCCACATAATTCCTTGGGATAGCTGTGCTGCCAGCTCTGGCTTTTGCCCCACCTTGCTCCCTTTTGTCCATTCCTGGTTGATGCAGTGCTGTTGCTGTGACATCCCAAGGACTTAGAGAGCAGGAAAAAAATGGGTTTGCCCTGAGATTCTGTCGATGAAAATACACAAGCTTACTTGAGACAGAATATTCTGCTGGCATCTTAGCATAATAGAAAACACTGGGTATGTTTTCCTTGTCTTCTTTCACCTTACCCATGAGAGAACCTTGAGATACAGAAAAAATTGTGCCCTTCAAAGCCACCCAGCTCTTCCTTCCTATTCCTTACTATTTATAATATTTATGTTAGTTTTCCTTGACTCCTTTAAAGTCTGATCCCTTTAAAGTTTGATCTCTCCTTCTAAAGTCACATCAGACTTTCCTACATCCTTTTCTCCTCACTCTCCTCAAAAAAACTTCTCTTTTTCTTGTCTATCTGGGCTCTTTTCTCTTTCTGCCTTCTACTTCAGCAACTATTCAGGCTTTCTCAGATCACTGAGATCTTTGCTGCATCTGAACAGAAATTGGGTTTTGGCTTTGACAGGTGTCTTTTTAGCTCAGCACTGACATCTTTTCTTAGGCAGCAACTTCCTGCAGGATCTATTTGAGACATTTCTGCGTGCATAAATTACTTTGGCATGTACAAATCAGCGCAGCAAAAATGTTAATTACCACCACTTTTCCCTTGCTGAGCCTCCCCTTAATGGTTTGAGCAACTTTTGTCTGCTCTGCTGTTCTATTTTTTTTGGGTTTTGTCCCTCCAGATAAATTATCAAATGGCTTTAACACTTGGTGGTGGTGCAGAGAGAACAAGGAGAGCTTGTTTTTCATGTTGGGCTTCGTGCAGATTGTTTCTCTGAAGGCGTGCAAAGGAACCTGACCAAAAAACGCAGGAGATCTGTAAATCTGTAAATTGCTGCTGTGTTTAAATATGTTCTCGCCAAAAAAAACTTATTTTTTTGCCATTCCACGTGGGATGTGGCACAAGTGGAGTGTGGTGGCATCAGCAGAAGTGGTGTGGATGTTTGTGGCCTGGCAGGGGGTCTGTGAGGTGCCACGTGCTGCGGGAGATGATGACGTTTGGCATCGCTTTCCGTCATCGGTTTTTGACATCAGCAGCAGCTCTGCCCCGTGCTGGGAGTGGGATAAGGAAAACTCAATCTGTCTCTGCCCACACCATCTCTGTGTATATTGTAACCAGGAAAAGGAATATATATAATTAGAGATGATGGTTTAGACTGTCGGATCCTGAGGATGGTGACTGTGACACAGTGACAATTCCTGGATGAGGTGGCACCAAAAACGTGACTTTAGGGCTGATTTCTCCTCCTGGCATGGGAGGATCCAACTGCAGCTCCTTCCTCTTTGCTGTGACAGTGACGTGCACAGCCCTCATGATGCTGAAGTGCTTCAAAATCGGGTGGAGAAAGGGATCCTGAAGTTCCCAGGGTCAGTATGTCCACAAATCTCAGACCTGTTCCTCACACAGCCCTTGCTGCTCCCCTCCTGCCCGCTGAGCATCCATCCAGGAAACCCAGGCACTGCTGTGGAGGGGGAGGCAGGACTGGCAGTGCCTCTGCTGCCTTGAATGCCTTTTGATTTTCTTCCTCCCGTAGATCAAACCTGTGCGTCAGAAGGTGCATTAACCCCTGCAAGCTCAGGCTTAGAGGGGAGCGATGTCTGAGTGCAGTTGCATTAAAAGTAGGTTTTAAAAAGGAGCCAAGTATCTTTTAAGCCAGGGCTGAGTGCCAGGGCTCAGTCAGGAGCTGTCCCTGCCTGCAGGAGCTCGAGCAGCGTGTCCCTGACAGGACTGTGCTCTGTGGGCAGCAGCTTTAGCAGCCAACGTGAAATCCAATAAACGTGTCCCTCCTTCTGGAGAACTTCTGAAGCTGAAACAGGAACACAGAGCTGTTTATCCACAGCAGCCAACACAGGCCTCAGTGGACTGGCAAAATATGCACCTGGCCTTTGATGAGACTGTTGTGTCCTCCACAGAGAGCACGTGGTGAGAACACCTGGATGGCACAGGAGCCAAGGAGATGGCACAGGAGCCAAGGAGGTGGCACAGGAGCCAAGGAAGGGGCACAGAGGACAGTTCCAGGCCACAGGCACGAGTGCCACGTGCTTGGGGACGAGTCAGAGATGGTCAGGCACTGCCTGTCAAATATCCAAGAGCAGGAGGGAGGCAAGAGTTGTGTCCACCAGTGCTGCACCATTTGGCATTAGAGCCCCTCGCCCCTGTCAGCCAGGGCCGGGCTCTGTCTGGATCAGAGAATGGTTGGGTTGGAAGAGACCTTAAAGATCATCTAATCCCACCCCTGCCCTGGGCAGGGACACCTTCCACTAGCCCAGGTTGCTCCAAGCCCCATCCAGCCTGTCCTTGGACACTTCAAGGAGTGGAGCAACCACATCAAAACTGATTTTAAGGGAATTAGAGACAATGCACAGAGACAGTCAAGTGTGCATCTACAGCAGCTCTTCAGCTCCTTTGTGCCTCTGCAGATGAGATCCCAGCGGTGCAAGCAGAGGTTTGGTTGTGTCCCCTCGCTGGCAGTGAGAACACAGCAATAATGACCAAAGGAATAAACCTACTTTCTGACTCCTCCTGTTTTTCTTCTGTCTTCGTGTCTTGCTGGGATTTCTATTATCACTGAGCCAGTAACAGATTTATATGCTGGGAGCATGATTAGTTTCCATCTTGCACCCTGCAACGGTCTCAGAACGAATGGTTTCTCTGTGTTCTTGAAAGCAACAAAAAAGTTGAGCTTGGAGCAAAACATCCTGGAGGCCTTCTCTGGAAAAGCCATGCTGAGGTTTCTCTGGAAGCATCCCAGAGGAAAACAAGAAGATTCCACACCTTGCCTTTATCCAGAGCATGAACCTGCTGTTCATGTTTGGGGTTATACCAGTGGACCACAAACACAGGGTTTGGTGTGTTCATCAATTTTTATCGTTTTGTTCCCTTAGCGAAGTTAATTTAAACACTTTAGATTGACTGCTGTGATGGGGGAAGGATATATCACATTTTAAAGCTTATAGGCCTGTTAAGCTCATTAAGTTGCAAGGTTTGAGAGGCTTATCAGCAATTTTTTTTATTGTTTCATAGGTTTTTGGGGGAAAACCAGAGGAAAGCAGTAACAAGGTTCAATGCACTGTTCCTTTAACAAAGAAGCAGGAGGGAAGAGGTGATGCTGTCAGCTTTGCAGGCAAGTGGAGGATATTGCTGCTAATTCATTCTCCTAAAATGCAAATTTTATGGATGCTGGGAGTTTTTTATTATGGTTCTTAATGATTGCTGTGACCTGTGATACCTGCCAGTGAACCTTGGCTGGGAGCAAAGCCTCTGTCTGGGTGCCCTGCAGACAGAGAGGAGAAGCCAGAAATGTCAATTGCCACTTGTTCTATTAAACCTGATTCCTCCAAACCTGAAGTGGGAATATCTGGAATGTATCTAAATCTCCAGATACGCTTTCTGCATGCAAATCACAGTTGTGGTGCGTTAAGTTGCATCCTGAAGAGCCAGATAAAAATAAACCGAAAGAAGGGAGAAGCAAATATGAGGGATTGAATGTTCAGGTGAAACCACTTCTGCGTGTCTGAGGGGTGGGCAAAGCCCTTGAGCCCCGTTCTGGGGTGGTGATGTCTCGATAATTCTTACTTGTCCAAGGGCCATCTGCATCACCAGGGAGGTTTAGGTTGGATATCAGGGAAAATTTCTTCCCAAAACTTATTGTCCAGCCCTGACTCAGCTGCCCAGGGCAGTGGTAGAGTCCCCATCCCTGGGGAGATTTAAAAACCATGTGGATGTGGCACTTGGGGACGTGGGTTAGTGGTTGGGACTCGATGGTCTTGGGAGCTTTTCCAATCTAAACTCTTCCATGTTTTTATGGTTCTTCCATGTGAAAGCTGTTTGTGGTTGGTCAAAGCCTTTGAAAACCTGGAATCTCCTCTTGGATTTTGTAGGGGGGAGAAAAACCCAAACATTACTTGCCTGTCTCCTACAAGAGCCAAGTCCTCTGGACCACAGGAAACATCCCTAAGGAGCATAGTGATCATCCTTTCTCCTTCCTTGGAAAGTCACACAGGAACTCTCTTCCCATGCTGTTTGAAGTTTCCATAACCTGCTGCTTGGCTCCAGGCTCTACAAAGTTTTATCCTTTCTGAGGTTTCCCTGGAACCCCCTGGGAGCTGCTTGGTGGCCTCACTTGGTTGTCCTCCCATCACCAGCTCATGCTGAAGGTGCCCATGGGGAGTCTCTGTGCACCTCTCGTGTCCAAAGCTTGTGAGCCAGAAATGTGGCCGAATCCTCTCTTTTAGAGGGATGTGATAAAGCTGAGCATGGGAGGTGCTGAGCAGGCACAGTGGAGGGGCACCAGGAGATCAAACAACTCATGATTTAAGAAAAACTAAGTTAGTAGCGCACCAAAGTTCACTGGAGAGTCTACGGCTGAACGTGGAAATCCTGAACTTTTATCACAAACCTGTTCCTGTCCCTCATCTTCACAAACAGAGTTGTGGGCAGGTTAGTTTTGTATGAAAATGGAGTAAAACTAAATGCAGATGCAGTGAAAGCTGACACCAAACTAAGCTCGAGCAGAATCTGACCCAAAGTGCTTTTCTTTGCAGCAGAAACACGGACTAATCCTCTTATCCTTGGAGCTGGAGGTCCCGTAGAGTGGGAACGAGAGGTTCGGTTCAAACCAGAGGATTTTCTCTCTGAATAAGAGGACACAGACTGAATATGCAAATAGTGAAATGTTCTCCTCTCAGGTTTTCTTAAGGGATTGCAGACTGCAGGGTTTAGTTGAGGCTAATTTATCCCTATTTCTATAGCCCTGCTGGTCCTGAAGGCTCCTGAACTGCTTTACCACCAACTACAAGCACGTCCTTATTAAAAGTCTTCAAAGAGTCATTGGATTATCTCAACCACTGACATGATCAGCACCACCCTGAACAGTGAGGAACAAATTGTCAGTCACAATCCACGATCCCATTATGAATTTTTCTATAAAAACTCTTAAAGGCCCTTACAAACCTTTCTCCCAGTCTTACCTGAAGGTCTTCCAGCAATCTGCCTCCTGGAATTAGGTGCATCTACATCAGGAGGCTGACTCTGTACAGATAAACCACACAACCCCCCAAAATGTCACACAATTAAATCTATTGCAGCAACAAATTATGCTCTCAGACAGCGACAGCAAGCATTTGCTGCACTGGAAATTAAAGCCATATATTAATCCTACAGCAGATTTGATTGAATAAACCTAATGTCAGCTGAGATATGTCTGCGTGTAACAGAAGAAATAAATGTCCACAGGACTTAATTTCAAAGAAAAACACTCAAAATTGGGGTGCATTAAAAACCAAGCATGTGAATTTTAAAAAGGGAGAAGAAAAAGACAGGTAGATAGATATTGTTCTGTATTGTGGCTGCTCTGAGTGTAATAAGATTCTTTGAGGAACTTTCCACTCAAAGTGCAGTTTTAGTGTTTCTCCCTCGCTGCCAGCCTTTCCAAGGTCTTAACCTGATCTATTGGAAGTGGTAACAAACTCCTGAAACGTATTTTTGAAATCCTTAGACCTTTGCCCAGGTTTGCTGTGATGGTCCAGACGTACCAATAAACCCTCCTGAGAGGCATTTAATGGGACACTTTAAATGAAATCGCTCGCTGGTTTCGTAATGGCAGCTGAACGCGTGTTCTTGCCATTTTCCCATTTAACAAGAAGAAAAGGCCAAACAAGGGCCAATTAGTCATAATAAAATCAGCTTTGATGACATTTTCACTCCTGAACTCTGGTATAAAATGGTCATCTAAGAAAGAACTGAAGGGATGTGCGAGGAATTCGGGAGCAGAACTGCATGTACATACACTCACTCTCCTGAGTGAAAAATGAGCAGGTAAAGACACTGCTGGTTACTTGGTTTATGGAGAAAATGTGCTGGGTTTTGGTGTTTTTCTCTGTATTCACCTAGTTTTGCTTGGGTTTGGTTCGAATTTTAATTAATCTCCTCTTTTCTTTGAAGTTTATGCAGGCTAAACTTTGTTTTCCTTCTTTGGATCTCAATGACATTCGTGTGCTCGGGTTACCCAGTTGGCCCTTCCATGGTAAGTCACACTCCTTGCTTACTCCAAGATGAGATGCTTCATGTATTTTAAATTGCTGTTTTATTTAAATTAGTTTTCTTGGTTTGAGTGCTTCTTTGTTGTTGTTTTCTTCTATGAAATGAAAGAAGTTCCTTGTTTTAAAGCTATTGGTTAATTATCACTACCTAATTTCCCTGGAGTATAACCCAATTTTTGCTTTAGTTATTAATAAAATATGCAAGCCTCTAAAATAATCATGTGAGAAATCCAGTGCATAATTAATGTGGAGTGTGGGGAGCTGAAATATTGTATGGAAGAGAAAAAAAAACCATAAATCTCTTCATTTCTTCTTAATTCCTTGCCTACATCAAATAGGTACAATTAGATACATGTATTAATTTCACTTATTGACAGCTTGTTTATAAACCAATTAATTCATCTGTCAGTGGATAGGGCAAGTTGAAATTCTTATATGAAGCTGTGGAGAATTATTTCATAGGGTCAGGAGTGGAAATTTGACTGAGCTACGAGAGAAAGTAGAACAGCCTGTAAAGCTGAAGGGAGCAGGTTACATAAATAATATTAATATCCTTTCCATTGCTGGCCAAGCCACCCAGACACTACCCAAGACTTCCCCAACGTGGAATGAGATATTTTATCTCTAATGATGACCAATTTCCCTCCTTTGGACGAAGCCTTCCTTAGATCCCCGTATTTTATGGCTGTAAATCAGCTCCAGGAGCCACAGCTCATATTTCTGCGTTTCCTCTGGTGTGTTTTGCATCATTATCTTTTCATTAAGGTGATCTGCTGTTATCAGAATTTCTGGCTAGTGGTTATTTTATGGATGTGAAATCCCTGTTATCCCTAAAGTATCCATTGCCTGGCTCCCCTCTCTGTTTTACTTCTGTAAATGCTGAATCATCTTTCATTTCTGATCGTGGAGAGTTTGGGCACAGCTTGGTCTGAGCAGCCACTTTTCCTAATGGATCTCTGTGTGGCAGTGATGTCATAGGTAAAATTGAGTTTAATTATTTGCAATTTATTGCGTTTATTTATTCCATTTCCAGGTAACAGTCATTTCCTCAGTAAGGGAAGTCTAGGGAGGCAGCAGCTAAAAATTCAAAGGGGAATTTCTCTGTGCTGGGTTTGGTTTTGTGGGGTTTTTTTGTAAAAAAAGTGTTTATTCTTGTTAGGGAGAAAATTCAGTCTGGGGAAACCCCTCATCTGTGGCAGAAGGGGCTGGGACTTGGTCTTGTTTGTTAAGAATCATTAAACAAACAAACAAAAAATATATAAAGTACTCAAGAGTATTAAATAAAAGCAATAGAACACTGAGTTAAAACTAGTAAATCTGAATTTTATTTCGGTGAAGGCAGGGGTTAATCCCATGGCTTTACATGGAACTTTTAGAGGTGGAAGAGTATTGTTTTTAGATAGATAATCAAGCAGCTGGGAAATGAGGGTACGGTGAAAGATGCACACAGCAGCTACAGGCGTGCCAGGAAATGTTTTGATTTTATAATTCAGTGATAATTCAAATGCAGTTTAATGTAAGGGCAGTTCAAATCTGTAAAAGTTTTTATGCAGTTTGCATTTTTATCCTGAAAAGTGCAGGTGGAAGGAATGTGTCCACAGACCTAAATGGATTTTCATCCAGAATTTTTAAAATTCCTATTACTCTATTTTCATTATTAAACTTTGCTACTACCATCACCACTCAGACCTACTGGAAATCTTCCTCTCCCAGATTTCTGCTTTACAGGGATTTTTGTTTTCTCTTACCTGTCATTTAAGCTACATAACTTCACACAAGTTACAACAAGATTCTATTTCATTGTTCACTGAAAAAAAAATCTCATTTTACAGCAATAAACACGGATGCTATTCCAGGGAAACTGTGTCACATGTCAGAACTGGTCACCATCACAGAAAACAGTTCATATCATACTGTGAGCGTAATTGTGTCAGTATTTTATACCAGAAATGCCGTGAAGATTTCTGGAAAACGATGAAAAAAAAAAAAAATCTGATTTTCAGTATGAGAAATCCTTAGCAAATAACAGTTCATCCTTGTCATAAACAGTAAATTGTTTTTGCGTTTCTGCTTTGCTTTTTTATAGTGAACAAGCCCTGGCAAATACACAAATCCGTAATTTTACCTTGTCTTATCTGTCTTTTTTTTTTTTTTTTTCCCCTCCTTGTTTGCTTGTTTTTTTTTAATCTCCAGAGCAACAATCCTTTTTATTTGAATTGCCAGCTGTATGGAAAACCTGATTACTGCCTGGTCCTGCTGAGTAGCTGCTTAGCCAAGGTGGGCAGGGATGAAGAACTTTTAAAGCCTCACCCGGAGACACCTCTCGACAAAAGGTCCTTCCGCAACGGCGTCGGATCGGGAATTAAAAAAACTTCCTTCCGAAGAGCAAAGTCATGAGCAAGTGCCCCAAACCACAGTACACACCCACCACCCCCCCCCCTTTTGACATCTGATGTTTAACTTTGTGCTTAAAGAGGTTTATTTTGATGCTCTTCTAGGATCAGACCAACCCGTGTCCTCAGCATGTAAGGGGGTGTTTGTTCCCGAGCGCGCGAGCCGAGCGGAGCAGGTGGGATTGCTCGGGAAGGGCTTTGTTCCCAAAGCTGCAGTGTCATAAAGTTTTGTCCTGGAATGAACGTTTTCGGTTGGTTTAATTCCCCTTCTTTGTAAAGCAGCAGATTTAATCAAGTTGGTTTTGATTAATGCAGAGGTAATCCTGTGCTGTGAGTAGATGTGCGTTCGCAGCCCGTGGGGAGGACGGAGAATATTATTCCCAAAATCCCTCCTCTCTGCCTTGGAGACAAACACAGGGCATTCCTGTGCTTTCCTGTCCCACATCACATTTGCTTGAAGGCAACTGCTCTGGCAGTTTTAATGCACATTTGAAGCACATTTCGTTTCAGATTTCCAAAGATATGAAGGGCCAGCGGTGAGAGGCAGAATCAGGCCCTACTTGCAACTTCCACTGGCTTTTTAATATAGTTATTTAAAGTTACTTTAGCAGGGAATAATCTCTGGAGATGTGTCAGCTCATTTCCAGAGGAGTCCTGGGAAATCACTGTGAGGCACTGCTTCCTGTGCCTCTGTTAATTGACTTAGGTAGGCAACACACAGCTGACAAAATGTACCAAATGGGGGATTTTTTATTTTTAAATTTCCTGTTTAGAAAAAAAAAAAAAGAAAGAAAGAAAGAAAAAGGAAAAAGGTAATTTTGTCTGAAAATAGGTAAATGCAGAGTGTAGGAAAGGTCATCTGCTGAGTTACATATGTGTGAGTTCTACCTTGTGGCTGTTTCCTCCAAGTGCTGTGACGCTGGCTTGAAATGTGGCAGAGTGTCCATGCAGTTCCTTTTGCATTCAGAGCTAATAGTAAATCAATAGTTGGATGTTTTCTAATATTTCCCTCTTAAAGATCATAACCCAGGAGATCCTTATCAACCCTACAAAAAGATGGTTTGGCATCATCACCTCCATGGTGCCCAATTCTGTGTTTTGCACCTCTGAGCCCGTGGGGAAAAGTGACCCGATCATGGAGCTCTTTTGGTGGGATATCAGGTTTCTGGGTGATTCCTGGCTGATTCAGGGAGATCAAACACACTCCTGTCTGTGTTTGTCCAAGCTGTAAAGTTCAATGCTTCATATTTTTTTTTAGAGCTGCTTAAACACTTGGGCTCCTTTGGGGTAGTGCTGGTCTCTAGGTTGCTTAGCTCTTGCGTCTCTTTGTCGAGTGTCTCCTAGAAAACATAAAACATTTATAAGGAAAATGTCAGATATTTGTTATTCTCATGAACTCTGTCTCCTGTACTGTCAGATGAGCAGGGCAAGAGCAGTGACACGAGGAGTTCCACTGCAGCAGGACATTTGTCCTGTTTCGCTCTTGGCTACCGTGATTTTGGCCACAGCAGTCTCTTGCAAATACAATTTTCCACCTCCAGCCGCACCCAGGTCTCTCCAGAACTGCCCGAGAAGCTGTGGCTGCCCCATCCCTGGAAGGGTCCAAGGCCAGGCTGGATGGGGCTTGGAACAACCTGGGCTGGTGGAAGGTGTCCCTGCCCATGGCAGGGGGTGGAACTGGGTGATCTTTGAGATCCCTTCCAACTCAAAGCATTTTGGGATCCTGTGATTCCATGATTCTGTTCTGCATCTGTGCAGATGTTTTGCCACAGTGCAGCCTCCTGGCATGGCTCTGTCCTGCTCCTTGCAGCTCATATCCCGCCCAACCTAATTTTCAGGAAATAAAAAAAAAAGGGAACAAATTCAGATGTACCTTTTTCTTGGGCTTTCACATCCATTTTTTGTTAACATTTTTCTACATAAGCAAATACGTTCCTGCCTGGGTAACCTGGGACGAGCAAGGTTGTCTGGAAGTCAACAGAGCTCTGCGTGGAGCTTGGAAAATCAGCCTCTTCCCTTTCACTTATTGTGCAGGATGAAAGTAACTCGTTTAGTGTTTGGCATTTGCCTTGGAGCAGGGAAGGGATGCAGAGCCAGGATCCTGCTTGCACAGACCTTCATCCCCTTTTATTGAAAGGATGGGCTGCAGGAAAAAAAAAAAAAAAAACAAAAAACCACAGCTTCTTGGCTGCAGGAAAAAGCTCATTATTTATGATTTAGCCATTCCCTGACAAGCCACTCCACCTTGAGGGACCTGCACAGACAAAAAGATGGCAGGAGGAGGCCACCAAGAGCCATAAGTCTTGTACTCACCTAAATCACACTGAGCGAGCCTGGAAAATGTAGATTATGCAGCTGACTTGCAGGAGTGGTTCTGTCACTGCTGGGCTGATCTTGCCATCACCACCCACTGAAAACTCAGGGCTGCCTCTGATGAAATGCTGAACTCTCCCCTGAACTTTAAAGGTGGCTTTATTTTGGAAAGAACAGAGAGTAACCTCAGTGATCTCTGTCAGAAAATGAGGATCTGAGGGTGCCATTGCTGAGCACATTAATTTTTATGCTGACAGAAACGGGAAATATGGCATAAGATGTCTTTTTTTTCAGTAAAAAGAGGACATAGGACCAGCTATAGGGATACCAACTTAAAGCATAATTAATGTGCTGCCAGGAATTACATTCCTTTCTGGAGAACAGGGATTCATGACTCTGTGAAAAGATATTTTGTTGACTTTCTTCACTGTTTTTCTTGGTTAACTTAAAAGAGAGAGAGAAGATGAAAGAGTTTAGAAGGTGGGAAGAATAATGCTTTGTCTAGGGATTAAGGAGCAAATTGGGAAGTTGGGAATGCCCTGGCCAGTCTTGGCCTTTGATAACAATTCAGTCTGTGACATCAGACAAACAATTTATACTCAATTTCTGCTACTGAAAAAAAAAAACAAAACTGTCTCCATCAAGCCATCTTGAGTAAGCAGTGGCTGTGGGAGCTGCATCCCCATCCCATCCCCACACCTGGAAAGGCTCCTTGCAAAGAGCTGGATGTATTATTGCCTGTTTCCTGCTCTCTAAAGATGATCTGTGCCTCTGAAAGAGGCAGCTGAGGTTCCCAGTAGGTGAAACTCAGAAGAACAAATCCAATAAAACGTGAACGAGCAAAATCTGCCCGAAGACAAGGAGAGGAATTAACTTTTTTTTTTTTTCTTCTTCACAGATTATTGGCGAGAAAGGCAATTAAATAGCCTGATGTAATAGCATCTAATTAACTTGCAAGACTGAAAATTCCTTGTTGTAATGACATACCAATACTTGGTTTTCTGATTACCAAGCACATATTAAAGTATATATATATCACACTGAGATTTCCTAATTTGCTATTATTTGCCTGTAAAATGGTAATTTATTACCTTAAAATACTGAGAGGGAGAAAGGAAGAAGTGTCTTGCTGCTTTTAGCTCTGGATGTAATTTTGACCTTAAGAAAGAACAAGACAGATATGAGAGAGTATATTAGATGTTATTATTACCCTAATAAAATAGAGATAAAAATCACAGTGCAGAAAGACTCTGAGACAACTATTAACCATTTGTCATAGAAAGAAAATCAAAATTTAACTTATCAGATAGTCTGGCACTTTAAAGATTCATCGTGAAAAATTACTTCTAACAGTGAAGCATTTATGCAATATGTCATTGATGAGCTGTCTGCTTAAATGTTTAAAGAGTTTGGGAAAAAAAATTGAAAAAATGTCAAAGATACGCTTTTTATTAGTCTGACAGAGAGCTTCAGTGTATTTAAATTTATTTTTAAGAGTGAAACACTATGGGCTTACATTTTTCTTTGAGAAAACAAGCTGAGCTCATTGTTCTACCCCAGTGCGAGATGGTTGGTGAGCACAACCAAAGTGAGGGTGGAGCTTTTTTCCCCTGAAAAAAATGACACAGCTGTACATCAGCCATCACTCCAGAGCCAGGGGAAATTTTGTTGCCTTTGTGGTGATAGAAGGACTTTTCCTCCTAATACCCTCCTGGATTTGAAGTCGCCGGGTCGATTATGCTGGAAATGGAGTGTGTCTTAGCAGCTTGATCAGCTGAGACCCATCTCCTGGAACCTTCCCTTTCAGGGGGACATAAAAGGGTGACAAGAAATGAGCTATGGAGTGCTGCTCTCGAGGTATCATCCACAACTCCCTGAAGGCAACCAGGAGAGGCTGAGCCCCTCAGTGGGTTTTGGCTCAGACCTTCGGCAGGGGGGAGCGTTTTGTGTTCGCTCCTCTCAGCCGGTCCAACCAGCCCAGAGAATCTCTGTGGCAAGCCCTGAGCCCCTCACTGCAGCTCTGCGCTCCAGCAGATCCTTCTGCCCACAAAACACCCCCCTTGATCCCTGTGGTTTGTGCCCACTCTCTGCTCTAACCCACCAGGTCTCAGTTCAGGCACCGGAGCTCCACTTGGCGCTTCCAAACCGCAGCCAAATGTGGAGCTGGAGCTCCACGAGGAGCCCAGGCCACTGTGGTCGGCTCTGTGTCTTCATTAGCATCTTAATTAGCAGCGTGACACTTGGATGAACCGAAGGAACTGTGGAAATTCATTGTTTAACACTGAGATGTAAATACAGGAGTCAGCGTTCCAGAGTCATTCCAGTCCCCCCACCACTGCTTTGCTGTTTCTTTTTTCTAAGAACTACACGAGCAAGAGGATGATGGTTATACATTTGCAGATGTTGCCTTTTCCCCCTTTTATTTTCAAGTAAAATCATAAATTAAATTAAAAGAGTAAATGAATTTCAACTCATAGAGGGAAAGGGGGATTATATACAAGTAAAAGTGACCCCTGGGGGAAAAAAAATCATTGCCATTGCTCTTTTTCATTGACTATTTCATTGGTAATCCTGCACAGTACTGTTTTAGAATACTTTTATAGTAAATGAAGACACAGGGTCATGATACAATTTGGTGGGAGCCACCTCCTTTGGCAGGAAGCACCTCCCTTCAGGTCATAACTTTAGTTGTCTTAATTTTGAACTGTCACACTGATTATATTAATGATTTTCTTGAAGCTACCAAATGGCAGTTGGGGTGACCTTCCCCACTCTCAGGAATTGTCAGAGATTTCACATGTTCCTGGTTTGAAGGCATAAAGGCTTCTGCTACCCTTCTGCATATTTTGGATTAAAGAACCTGGCTTTTTGGACAGGCCCACCTTCGGGTTCCCGTGTTGGGACAAAGGGATGTGTTTGACTCTGCTGGTCTTTCTACTTTGTGGTTTTAGTTAGGTCTTCTAATTATTCCTTCCTGTTGAGAATGTGGATCTCATTACGCTCCTGGCTGATGGGAGCAGCACAGTCATGAGCAGATTTTGGGCTTCTCGGTGATGCCTGGCCAAGTGCACCCCGTGAAACGCCACTTGCCTTCAGGTTTCTCGGTTTTAAAGTCATTTTCATGTGCAAAATATGGCAGAAATAACCGTTGCATGAGACACTATGGCATGCCAGGAAGGATGGTAAAGTCATCCACCCAACTAGGCAGCAACTGGTGCTGGCTGGAGTGGCCACAATGTGAGGAAGCCAGGGCAGGGACACCTTCCACCGGCCCAGGTTGCTCCAAACCCTGTCCAACCTGGCCTTGGACACTTCCAGGGATCCAGGGGCAGCCACAGCTTCTCTGGGCAACCTGTGCCAGGGCCTTGCCACCCTAATGTCAATTTAATAATCAATAAAATTTAAT